GACTATGATGCTCTGGCGGCACTAAAGGGCTCCAAAGGATGCAAGCTTCGACGATGTGTGGTGGCGTTGGCGTGGGCTTTGGAGGTGGACGCTAACTCCGATGATGGCCACCGATGCTCGACGCAAGCGTCAGAATGGAGTTTCAAGATATGCTTCTGGCTGGATCTGAGCAAAGATGTGGATGGGTTTTGATTTTGGTGTTGTGCGTTGAAGATGAAGAGGGTAGTTAGGGAAAAAGTGATTTCACAAACCTCAGAATAGCAATTCCACTCTCTCACGGATGAATGGTCTTTCCACCAAAATGGGTGAATGGGCTTTACAATGGAAAGGCCTTTCTGAAGTTAATTTCTTAACCAAACAAGAGAATTAGACTTTAGCAAAGGAATTGTCTTTCCTTTCCTTTCCTTTCCTCCCAACCAAACGTACCCTTAAGGTTTCTGCAAAAAGGAGAGAAGAAAGCGAAGAGAAAGAGGAAATGGAAAAACTTAGAGGATATTTGGTTGGATGATTCAAATTATGATTCATAGTTTGTTACAGTATTTTTTCTCACAAAAATACATGTAAATTTAAAATAATACTAATCACATGATTCTAATTTATAAATTAAACATCTTCTTAGAGAGCTTAGAGTTTCTGCGAGAAAGGGCGAATGAGGCGGAGAGAAAAGAAAAATGGAAAAGTTTTAGGATTCAAGTGGCAAACGACAACAAAACCTAAAGACCAAAATGTCCCTACACCAAAAGAAGAAGAGAGCAATAAATGGAGAGTAAAAGTGTCATTTCACTGTTATTTAACAGTAAATTGAGTTTGCATAAACAGTAATTTACTTAAGTCATTTCATGGATTGTTTTCAATTCAATAAAGACATCTAGTTTGTATCACATCACCAGTGGGTCGGTCAAGACTCATCGAAAAGAGAATTAATTACATTCCATTATATGATTTGCTAAAAAAAAAAAAGAAAAAAATCGAATATATGCGATGGAAAGGAAAAAAAAAACTTATAAGATATTTAGTTAGACTATAATTTAAATTATAATTTATAATTTATAATTATATTTTTTTTATAAAAAATATATATAAATTAAAAATAATTTTAATAACATGATTCGAATATATGAATGTATGTATGTATATATCACACACGTTCTGGCGTTTTCTTTACATGTTAGACGACGTCGTTTTTTTGAGAAGCTTTCCAAAGTCTATTGAATCAAACATACGGACGGCGGTCGAACCGTTACGTTGAAAAATTTACCATAATACGTGGGTGACGGCACTCTTCTCTATGTATGTATGTATATATCACACACGTTCTGGCGTTTTCTTTACATGTTAGACGACGTCGTTTTTTTGAGAAGCTTTCCAAAGTCTATATGAAACTCTTTTTCCGGTAAATTTTCAACCCTACAATTCCCGATTATTCTTTAATTGTTCCGAAAATTTCAACACCCATTAATATTTTTCCCCCTTATTACCTTAGACGATCGTAATTTCAAAATCGATTTCATTTTCCGATAGGGAAACTGCAGGAACAAAGAAGAAAAAAAGTTGACATTTTATCGTTTAAAATCTCTTCAGCTTCCCTCTTTTCGTTTCCTAAATTTGAATTTTTATTTAAAAAAAAATTCTAAAATATATTTGAGGTATACAAACATCTCACCCTTGGCTTTGTTGAAAAAAAAAAAAAAAAAAAAAACCCTAGAGCTCATCAGTCCCGATCCTCAACCGTTGGATTCCAATTCTTTCTGCCATCGCAAGCGTCGTAGCCAACCCCTCCCGAGCCGATTTCAAGCCACCTGTAAGCCAAGCTCCTCCATGGTTGCTTTTTCTGTTTGTAATTGTTTTTGTTTGGTAATTAAAATTTTTTTTTTCCTGTTTGAAGTTGTGATTTTGTGGTGGAAAGACCAAATCTTTTTGTGCAAATTTTAGCGTTTCTGCGATAATCGTTTGTTCCCCTTTGATTCTAGGGTGGGACGGGATTTCATGGATTTTACAAATCTCAAAATGGGTTGCTTTGGAATTTCTTTGATTGTGGAAACTTGCTATTTGATTTTACATATTGGTGAAAATTTCTATTTTGATTAGTTGAGTCATGAGTGTTTAGCTATTTGCGATTTTTTGTTGATTATTTTACTATTTTGGAAGTTTGATATTTTTTGTAAATTGGGTTGCGTGATTAGTTGGTAATTCTTCAAAGATCATATTTGTGAGATTTGTGAAATTAGTTTGATATTTGTTGGAAATGGGTATGATTATGGTGCTGTAACTTGTAAATTGTTTGATTTTTATGGGTTTATTTATTTATTTTTATTTCCTATTATCAGAATTGCAAGCAATATGGCCACAACATTCGACTATGTAATTTCAGACTCTAATTTTTTTCATATTACGACTTATTTTGGACTATATAACTGTAACATTACTTTACTTTGCACTATGCAATGGCGTGGCATAGTAACAGAAACTTCTTTTCTTTGGTTGTAAGCTTCTAAGTCCTTTCTGATGAATGAATTTTGTGAATTTAAGAATTGATTGTCTTATAATCGTGTGATGCTGGTCTCAAAGTATACTTATGGTTTATGGATGATCTTGAGGATTAGACTGGGTAATACCGATACTTGTTCTAGTTTTATAGACATATAGCTTGGTTAAGAGAAATTAGAGAATGTTTTTTTAGCTTTTGCTTTGATAGAATCAAGTGATAAAGAAGACATTAATTTATTTTAAAAATTGGTGCCGGGGATTTGGAGCTGTGGAATATGCTCTGTATCCAACATTATTTATATGGTTCTAAAGATGTTTTCTCCTTTGTTTGGTCTTGTCTTCTAGTTTTCTTGAATTTTGTAAATTGCGACACTTTCTTTATTTGTATTCAGTTTTCTATCATTTGGTTACTGACAAACATTTAAATTTTTTAATGGGCTTACTTCTAATGTTTGATGTTTCAATGCTTCCTTATGTGATATGTTGAAAGAAGACAGATTTTAGTTTTCTGGTGGTATCTTAATTCTAAAAATGCCCAAGGTTAGAAGAGTACGGTCCTTGTCTTTTGATCAATCTAGAGCATCTCCTTATCCTAGTACCTCTAATGGTGGCAATCCAAGTAAACCTAAAAGTCCATTGGGATCAGTTGATGATGTGAAAGAATGGGAAGAAGCTAGGTGCCCCATATGCATGGAACACCCACACAATGCTGTCCTTTTAAAGTGTTCTTCTCACGAGAAGGGCTGCAGGCCTTATATGTGCAATACGAGCTACCGGCACTCGAACTGCCTTGATCAGTTCTGTAAGTCATCTGAGCCCTACCCCTCAACAACATTGCTGCGAGAAATTCCTCTGACAAGCAATGCCTCTCAAAGAATAGGTGAGGAACAGGCACTGCCTGGGCAAACTAGGCCTTGCGGGAGCCATATGGAATCAAAGCTGTTCTGCCCTCTTTGTCGAGGAGATCTCTATGGATATGTTGTTTTAGAGTCCGCTCGTCGGTACATGAACACCAAAGTAAGAAGTTGTTCTACTGAGACATGCGATTTCAGTGGAAACTATTCAGAACTAAGGAAGCACGCTAGATCTGAACACCCTTCTGTCCGGCCGTCGGAGGTGGATCCAACACGACAACATGATTGGATGAGGTTGGAGCGGGAAAGGGACTTGGATGACGTCCTTAGCTTGGTGCAGCCAGGGATTGCAGAAGACAGTAGTACTGAAGATCCATCAGAGGATTTAGATTCTTGGATGTCTTCATTCTTCGCTTCAATGTTTCGTTCTATTGAGATCATGCTTGTTAGCCGTTTATTGGATGCTTCACGAGATAGAGAGCAGTCGCATAATAGGAGGTTAGAGAGAATATCAAGGTCACACGCATACCGTGAGGTTGGTACTAGCTCTGGCACTAGACGGAGCAATACTTTTAATGAGAGTAACTCCCATGGAAGGCGACTGCGGTGGCGGGCCAACTATGATGCGGGGGCTAGTCCTGCCACCAGACAGAACAACAATTCCTTCCAAGGGAGATCACGCGCCCCCCGTTCACAGCGATTGCACTGGCGGAATCAGAGATGGTCTAATTACAATAACCAGCGATGATTGCAACGCATGGTTAAGTTACTTTACTCATAACGTGGATTTACTTATCAGCTTTTTATTGTTATCTACTATGTTTGCTTTGAGTTTTACGAGTTGCGCAGTTTGTGACGGCCTTTGTTTTCTGCTTTCCAGATGAATCGCAGTCGAGGATGTTTATATGTTTGGAGATCAGGTCCAAATATCTGTTCGATCAGGTTACCAGAGGATGTCGTTTCCTCCATCTGCAGGATATTGAAAGACTTTATGGTGACGTGTATTGCAAGTTGCAACTTTATTCTCCGTTGACATGGACAATAAAAATTTTACTCTCGTGGCATGTTTTGTTTATTGCCTCTCTTGTTTAGCTTGATTGCCACGGCAGTACAAATTGGGCCGGGTCTCATTTTTGAAGTCTTTTTTTTTCGTTTGTTACATTTTTGTTTTGTTTTTTTTTCTTTTACATTTTATGTGTGAATGAATTAAGCTTATATTTCTTATTGGCATTTGGTAAAAGTAAAAAATAAAAACAAAATAAAGCATGAATAATATGATGAGGGCAATTTAGGGATTTTAATGATATAAAAACATAGGTCATATATTTTGACCTACAATACGTGATACGTCTCATTTTATGAATGACTAACTTTGTATGGTACACAATTACCATTATATGATGCGGGGGTAGAAAAAGAAAAGAGATAATTTAAAAAAAAACTTAAAATTATGGTATTGATCTAAAAAATTTGCAAAATGCCATTAAAATGTGTTTTTTTATATTTTTAATTTTGAACTTTTTATACATTAGAAAGTTTTAGTTTTATTCTTTTTTTTTCTCAAGGATATTTGGTCATTTTAAAAGTTAAAATCAATTATTGATTGAAATAATATATAGATTTGTATATTAAATTTAATTTAAAAATATATATTTAATAAGATAAAAAACTGAATGTATGGATTTTAAATAAATTTAAAACAGAGAATATTAAAATATAAATATTTCTAAAATAAACCTAAACTCTTTAAATATTGGTAAATTAAAGAGTCTACTCTGGCCACGTTTTTACCCGTTTCATACACGTGACACTTATTTAAAAATACTCCAACGCTCTTTTGTGAGACGGAGATGTCAGAATTAAAAAAAGAAAAGAAAAGAAAATGAAGAGATGATAACGGAAAACCCTAAAGAAAAAAGGAAAAAAAAAAAGGGCGAAGAGAGCTATCTGAGAAAGAAAAGTGACCAGCTGAGCCCCACCAGTTGCCGTCAGGTCATTCCACAAGCACCATCGTTGCCGCCCAAATCTTATCAGGCCCGCCACTCCGCGGCCAGCCTAGTCCGACCAAGCCGCCTCCTTTGCACTGCCAAAAGCTCGACCCGCCAGCCAAGCCGCCTCATCGCCATCGTAGCTGCAAGCAAGCCCTAGTAATTAGTATCATCTCTTCAGGTAAATCAAAATCGCTTAGAAATGCTTATGCCATGGTTCTCTCAGAACTTGATTTCTTTGATTACCTACCCTACACCTTCCCCTCTCTCTCTCTCTCTCTGTCTCTCTCTGTGTCTTAGAAATTCGATTTTTATCGTTGATTTTATCTCCTTAATTGATCAATAGTGCTTGACAAGCTAGGTTTGATTAGTTGATATATTAGGTCTGATTGGTTTTTTCTTTTCCTGAATTAGTTTACTTTAGTAGAATTTAAATTTATATAGTCTGTGGCCGAAAAATGGCTACTGCAAGTTTTTTATGTTTCAATTAGACCTTTTCTGGGACGCGAGTGAGTTTTTGGTATTTGCTTCACGTTGTTATCTCAAAGTCATAATTTTTCCTCGTCATGAAAAAAAAAAAATCATTTTCTTGTTTCTGGACTTTTATTTTTCTTGTTCTTTTTTTTTTCTATTTAATCTTTTTCCAAAAAAAAAAAAAAAAAAAAAAAAGCCTATGTTCCTAAATGGTTTAATATTTCTTTGAATCTGAAAAAAAAAATTGTCATTCTGACAAACGTATTATCAAACATGTTACATTCACATAATTATTAGCTGCTGATTTAACTGCAGAGTCTCTGTAATCATGGCAAGGTCATCATCAAACATGTTGTTGAAGGGGATTTCAGGTCTCCTAGCTGCTCGTTCTAGTAGAATTGTAAGACTCCACACCTTATTTTTCATGTGATAGACATATACCTTTTATCCATGGTAGTTAATTGTTTATTTTTAATTTTTTTAATTTTTGGGTATGTTGCTAGGTGTCTGGATCTTTTTCCCAGTATGGAATGAAGTACTCATCTACACCTAATGAGCCTGATACCCATGATGACTTTAAGCCTACTAATAAGGTTGAGAGCTCTGGGCTTTCTTTGAAGGAAGTTGTTGAGCAGGTACGTGAATTTCGATTGAATCCGTTTATCATCCAGACATTTTTAGTTTTGTTTTCTTGCTTTTGTTATTCTTTTGGATAAGATCGAAAGTTAATTCTTGTGTAATTTATTTCTGGTGTAGGATGTCAAAGAGAATTCTGTTTTGATTTACATGAAAGGAGTACCCGATCTTCCTCAATGTGGATTCAGCTCACTAGCAGTAAGGGTGTTAAAACTATATGGTAAGAGCAACAATAATATTTCCAGATTACTTTCACTCCATCTTTGAAAATGATCGTGGCAACTTAGGTAAAACACAACCAACCACGTCATTTTCTTATTAAAAATAAAAATAAAAAACCAACCAGAACCAAGTCATTCGCTGGGAGCCTGGAACAACATTTTGTAGGATTCTCAGTTTTAGGCCTCGTTCTCATTTCACCGATTCAAGTTTTCAGTTTTAGGTTTCTACAGTAAAAAGCTCTCAGAAAATGTCACATCTAACTTTTTTTGCTACAGTGAAAAGCTCTTAGAAAATGTCACATCTCAAGCTCGAATTGAAAACTCGAATCCGCGAAGTGAACGAGGCCTTAATTATCTTATAATTAGCTGTATTGTCTTTTGGAATGAATTCATAAGTTTAATTATTGGGGAGAGGATTTCCTTTTTATTATTTGTTCAATGTATTTTTGGCCTTCTTGTTTGCTATGCAATTTGCTGTGGATACAACTGTTACAATGTTACATAATTTTGTTGTATGGCGTTGTCATCTGTTTTCTCAAGTTTGATGGTAGCAATGACACTACTGCTTTTGTTATCTACTAATTGTGGCCTGCCCTTACAGATGTTCCGCTGAGTGCTAGAAACATTTTGGAAAACCCCGAGCTGAAAAGTGCTGTAAAAGCCTTCAGGTAAAGAGTGTGTTTGGTTCGATTCGCAATTTAGCATACCTATTACCGACCCAAATCTTCCTTCATAGGATTTTAGCGTCCTTTTGAGGTGTGTTTGGTATGAAAGTCTCGTTTCTTTTAGAGGATGAGCTACCAACTCGTTTCGATCCTCCTTTCAGTTTTGGATTTTTGTGTATTTACGTTTCGGTTAAAATTGTATTGAATGTGCAAGTTACTCGCATATGCATATTGTTTTCTTAATTCATGCGCGTTGTGCTTGCAGCCAATGGCCAACATTTCCTCAGATTTTTATCAAGGGAGAGTTCATAGGTGGTTCAGATATTATTCTGAATTTGCACCAGGTTAGTAATAAACTTGTAATGTATTTCGGGTGTTATTTATTGTTTTTCTCCTTTGAAATGGAAATGCGTAGCTCTGACACTTTTGGTGAATCCGATGCAGACTGGCGAACTGAAGGAAAAGCTAAAGGATATTGTAGCCAATCAAGGAAGCTCTGAATAAGTTGTTGAATTTAATGAGTGTGATTTGAGCTTCATCAACATCGGTCCTTTGATCATCACAAAGGCTAGAATATATGTGATCATTCGAGATGCTAGGTTTATGAGAGTCGGCGATACAAAAAAGTTTCTCTTGAAATTTATAGAGAGCAATACTTAACTTGTTGTTCTCCTTTCATACTCTGTATTATGACCCTTTTTTGTGGCCCAAAAATTTTTGAATTATTGAACTTTGATTTTTAGTTGTTGGATAAAAACAGAAACAAAAAGGTTACTCAGACATGAAAGCGGAGACTCTTGAAAATAGCATTGTTTGATATGATCAGCAAGTGAACTTCGAGTTCGAGCAGTGAATTGACTTTGCTTGTATACCCAACAGAGCTCGCATAATTTCCAATACACTAATGGTTCATGTTAGGCTTTGAAATGACGCAAATTCCGGAATTCTCAGAATTACGTTCATTATTCTGACAAAATAACACTCGATTAGGAGGTCGAAATTTTTCTCCATGCTATTTTTCCCCTTTTAAAATAAATTTCCTCAAATACACAGTTATCTGTTCTTTTCGCTGGTCATGGGGTAAATCGAGAACTATGATCTCCAAACTTGACATTAATAAAAGTATCTCAAGGAACATTTCTTATAGACCAAAATCTTTTCATTAGTTTTTCTTCACTCTCAAGTACAGCAAAACAGCAATCCCAGCCCCACATCAGCAGAGTGAAAATGCCTGTCAGCTTTGGGACACACCTGAGGTTGGCAGCTAGCTGGAACCTAGCATCTTGGTTTCACTGGCAGATTGCACCAGAACAACAAGTACTTCAAAAATTAAGGACATATAGCTCATCTCTTGGAGCTTGTCGAGCATAAATAACGGAGCATATATTCATTGGAAGAGCAAGTATCTGCTAAATCTTGATGTATTCTGGTGATTGCCTTCTCTAAGGATTTTAAAGAAGGAAGCAGATTTCGAGAGTTCTGTTGGATAGAGTTACCATGAATTTTACAAAGCTCCTGCCACAAAATTAACCACAAAACATTAATTAAAAGTCCTAAAGATAGGACAATCCATTAAAAAAATAATCAAAATCAGAACATACATGACACCACCGGAGTATGAATTCCAGATGTGCACAACTTTCTAGAAGATCCGCGAGTGCCTCGATTAGCCTCTGCAAATATCGGTGGGGAACTGATGAAGCAACAGCGGGGATATCCACCGGACTGACAGCAAAAATGCTTTTCTTAATTAAACTGTCCTCGTTTAAGCGAAGGCTAAGAAGTAAAGCTCTACTTGGCTGATCTTCGTTCAGTGCTGCCTCAATTGCCTGTACCACATTGCAATAAAACGAGTTAATGTTTTATACTCTTAAAGAAAACTGATAAGGGAGGATACTCTTTTCAGCTAAACTATTCTCACGTTGGAATGGCAAATGAAACAAATTTATATTAGTCCAATATAATGCTGCGAAATACCTCAGGTGTGACATCGATGTCAAGATCCGTGGGGTCAAATATGAAGGTATCATCAATTGAATAAACAAGAACTCCCTCTGTTGTTGATGCTGAAAAGCTTCGACCGGTGGGTGCAAGTCTCAGGCATTTTGTTCGAACAACTGGCCTTCCATGGTTAGGCATGGATCCTGGTAAATCATAACCCAAATTTCCCCGGGTTTGCTTGTCAACACCTTCTTCGACATCACTGTTATCATTGTCAATTAAATCTAACGGCCCAGCTTCCGTCATGTTTTTTGAATTTAAGAAATCAAGAACTCCATCCAAAGAGAGATTATGAGTTATTTGAAACCGCCGGAGCAGTACCTATGCAACACAAGTCCAATAAAGAAATAGACCTTATATTAGACTTGAATTCTTTCTCAACTGTAAAAAGCTATTTCTCAAAAAACATATGGATACAAACACGCTAACCTGATCAGCAACATCATACATGCAAATGTATTTGCTGCTTCCCCCGGCTAATATGAAACTTCCGTCAGCAGAATAACATAAGGTTGTGAAGCACTTTCCTGAACTCGAGTTAGCTGCTGATCGGCGATCTGTCATAAGACGCCCTCCAGCAACATCCCTACGTCCTTCAATGGTATACATTAATACACCATCTATTGGGTCCCAAAAATGAATTTGCCCATCTAATGTACTACAAGCCAACTGCTTTCCATCTGGTCGGTAAACCACGGTGAGAACATCATGCGTGTGAGGAAATGTTTCAACAGCACTTTTTCTTTCAAAAACGTCCCACAGCTTAACTGTTTTGTCCCACGATGATGAAGCCAAGACAGCCTATAGTGCAAACAGAACACCACGTTTAAGTTAAGCATCCTAGCAGGATCACAGAAGAAATAAGCTCAAGCTTTAATGGTAACCAGGCCAGACAGACCCTAGAAAATGAAAGAACTCACATTTGAAGGAGAAAACGTCAATCCATGAACGGGACCTTCATGACCACTAAGACTGTCCAACAAACGTCCCGTCTTCATTGACCATACAAAAATCTGTCACCAGTAACAAAGAAAGAAGTTAGTGAACGCGAATATGATTCCTTGGTACTTTAAAACTACAAGCAATGAGAAAAGTACCTCAAATGAATCTAAAGTTCCCGCACATATAACTTCTCCACTCTGATCTGCTGCCAAAGAAACAAATTGTCTAGGAGAAGAGGTTGTGAAAGTCCGGAAATTCCGATAGCGGAATAAATCCCATGCGCGAACAGTTCCATCCAGAGACGCACTTAATAAACAGTGGTTGTTGCCCATAAAATGAAGAGCAGTTACCGCATTCGTGTGCTCAGAAAATGTTACAAAGGAAAATCCTGAGGAGACATTCCAAACCTGTATGAAGCAAGTAAAGTGTATGAGTAATATAAACAGATTTGGAAGAAATTTCTTCCACATAATTTAATGAAAACGGTAGTCTCTTCAGCTGAATAAATTCTGAAAACACTGAGTAGCATGTTCTGGATATCAGTTTACCTTGACTTTGTTATCATCTGCTCCAGTAGCTAAGAGTTGTGAATCTGGTGAATATGCAAGGCAATTTACATCAAAATAATGCCCTTGTTGCTTCAGTATATAAGTCTCCGACCGCCATTCCCACACTAGCAACTGTCCTAGTTTCGCACACCCAAACACCAACCAATTCCCAAGCTCATTAAAAACCGCTGTTGTGATCTTTTCTCTCGATATCGACAGCAGGTGAAGGCATACAAAATCAGGCATCTGATACAGCCCAAACACACCATTCGAGAACCCGACGACCACCATGTCAAGACCTCGGTGATAATCACACGCGGTCAACTTCGCCGGGGCCTGATTGAGATTGTCCTTCCTTAACAACTCCCATTTCCCCTTCTGCAAATACCCGCCTTCTTCATCCAAGTTACCACTTTTGCCTTTATAATCCTTTCTCTTCTTCAAATTACCATTACCACCATCTTCCAAATTCTCTTCGTGATCCCTTTCAGGCGTACCCGGCGACGGCGGTTCTGAAGTTTCCACTTCCATTTCATCAAATTCACCTTCATTAGCGCTAAAACCCCAACTAAAGATAAAGCAATCGCGTGTAATCGTATAAACTCTGCAAACCCGATTGGATTTCTTATCAACGCCGAAAAACACACCCATAACGGTGTCTCTATGACCTAAGAACATAAACGGCTTATTCCTAAACTGGTTCCATTTCAACTTATCCACGAAAAACAATCTCGCCGTCAAATCTTTAGATCCGGCGAGCAAATAACTCGAGTCCGGACTCCAATCCAAGGCCGTAACTTTATCGTCGAAATCCGCGAAAGTCCTAACCAATTCAAAGGGGAAAAACTCTTTCTTGAAACCCGGAGACCGCCAGATTTGAAGCAACTTACCGGTGGCGACGGCTATATAAGCGCCGTCGGGGCTGAATTTGACGGCATTGACGGAGTGCTTGAAGGTCATCCTGTGGAGCACAGCTCGCCGGCGAAGGTTTATGAAGAGGCATCGGCGGTTCTCGTCCACGGTGAGGAGGAAAACCCCGTCCGGCGAGGCGGCAATTCGGGAGATATTGGAAGACGATTGGACGGGCAGAGTTAGTGTTTGGGATTTGATGAGGTCGGTGACGGAGACTCGGTTACCGACGGGGGAGATTAACTCGTTGTTGTTGACGACAATAGCATTGCCTCCTCTGTACGGAGCTCCGAGGAGGTTCTGAAATCTGAAGTTCATGTTATCCGATGTTAACCGCTATGGTTGCCGCCGAAATGACAGGGAAATTTGGGAGGGAAAAAGAGGAAGATTTAACTAGGGAAAATTTTCTCCGGAAACAAACATATGAAGGCGCAGAGGAAATGTTCGTCTTTGAAAACTAGGGTTTATAGAGGGTTTAACTGAATAACCAAGCTGCGAAGCCCAACATTGGAAACGCTTCGCACGGTCTTGAGCCCATCTTGCTCTTTCCTCTTCGGCTAATTTTGGATTAATTTCATAAATGTAACTATGTACTTCATTTTAAAATGTCCCCTTGCGTTTTAAAATAGTTCAAAACACTCTTTATATATAAAAACCATTCAAAATACCCCCCTTTTTTTTATATCAAAATCCGTCTATTAGTCTAACAAAAGTGTTTAATGTGGCATGTCATCCAAAGTCGAATGAACATTAAATTCTAATTTCTTACCATATTAAAAGAGCCTTGAAGGCTCACATTGTAGTTTTTTCCGAAGTCCAAATCGCATTGTATTGGTGCTCTTCTTTTTTTTTTTTTTCCTTTTTTTTTTACTGATTTTTTTTAACCCCTTTCCTTATTTCTTTCTTTTGCTTTTCTTTTCTTTCTTTTTTTTTTTTTTTTTGTTCCAATTGTCTCTCGTAGTCACTTAAATTTCATCATTTTTGTTTTTTTTTTCCCTTTTTTATTCATTTTTTACTCTATTTGTCTACGATTGTATTTTAAAATAATGTTTTACCCTTTCTTTCTTTTTTCCTTTATTAGTGTTTTTAGTGTTTTCTTCCTTTCATTCTCTTGGCTTCCTCACACCCTTAATATTCTCCTACCCCTTTCCTTCATTTTCTTCTTTCATTTTCTGTCCATTTAAACTTTAACCTCCAATCTTAACAAGCTTCTCACCGGAATAATATCTTCAATTTTGATCAATTATGATTTCAATTGTGTGTGTGTGTGTGTTTTTTTTTTCATTCCTTTCATGGTCAATGTGATGACCCTCCTCAGTGGCCATCACTGTAGCTTAATTTTAACTTGTACTTACTGAAATTTCTTAAAATTTACGAAATATTTTTTTTTTATTTTCAAAAGTCTTATAGTAGACATTAGTTACGAATTGCTTTCTTGATTAAAATATTCAAACCTTAACATATTTGTTTCTCAAAGCATATCGATATATCTATATGTATATACTTACTCCTTAAGTCTTGCTTACTAATAGCCATAATCCACAAAACCATTTAACATATAGTTTCAGACTCATAATTAGCAAAACTATTTATAACGTAAAACTGATTGTTGAAATATTTGCGAGCGGTATCCATTCCCCGATCTCCACATCGTTCGTCCATTCACCGTCAGTCCATCAAGTATTATATGCAGGTTGCTTACCTACAGTATAAATATTCTATGATGAGCTTTCACTCAGCAAGTAGGAACTATCCCTCGCAAAATCACTATAAGTTCACATGAATAAATATGCATGAGCCAATTATGCTTAATTATGATAATGTCTTATTAAATTCTTATTATCTGATCTTATCTTACTTACTTATGGGCCCGAGTGCTTGTACCACTTGCTCCCAATCATCGGGACATAAGGGTTTGAAAGGTCCCTCACGACACCGTGATTATAACTGAACTGAATGCCTCCCTCTTAGAGGACATTATTATATTTTTTTCTTCTCCCTTACGGAACCTGAGTTACCCTCCCTCTCAGAGGCTGGTACGGTACTCAACTGAGATTATTGTTATAAGTTTCTCTTGACTTATTAAGGTGTATGCAGTATGACATGGCATCGCATACAATACATAAAGCATAAACATGCATATATAGCATGTGTAACTTTTTCTTTAAAATCTATTCATACTGTAGGCGATATTCCTACTTTACCTGACTTTACAGAGCTGGAATCCACTTTTCGCCAAACAGCCTATTCTTTTACTTGCTTACTTCTGAAAATGAACACCAATTGAGAGTGTGAGATTAGCTGTCGTTTGCTATTCTATTTTAGCAGCTTATGAAGGAAATCTAACCCTTTCTTACGACATGTATTCCTCTCATTTACTGAAGGATAATTTATTATAAGGATCAATTTATTAAATCCTCAAAATCTTATTTTCCTTAATTGCTCTTATCATCCACTTGCCTAGATTAAAAATCAATTACCCAATCTAGTAACTTATTCTCCATAATCTACCGCATCAGACTTGTTATGATATTAAAGCCCAATTCGGCCTAGAAACTTATTCATGGCGTTCTAACTCTTAGGCCGTTAAAATTTAAACTCAAACAGGGTCTCTTCAATTAATGCAGGCGTTGGACCCACATCTAATCTTCTTAATTCTAAGGACCTAACGTATTGGGCTTGCAGGTGCCCGTCGGGATGATTTGCTCGATAAACCACTAAGTTCTTAAAAGAAACCATTTTTCTCGAAAACTTTTTTTACGAATATTTATGTTAAAATGAGGTTTAACACCATTGTATTTTACTAAAATCACATCTCAGGTTCTTTGATAACTTTTTGTTAAAAACCAACACTGTGTTAGTTTTGTTTAGTTAAAACTATGCAGTTTATGAAATCTGCGTTTTACTACATCTTAGAGTCAGATTTCAAAAATATGTTCTTCGCGACAATTTTTCATCGCGTCGAGATCTAAAATTGTTGTTTTCGGAGAAAGTTGAAATTCAGCCTCTAAAGGCCTCGTTTGGCTGAACACAGTGGCTGCAGTTTTTTTTCTCGAAACTGTGTTGGACAGCCTACACCATTTTTGTAAAATGGCTTTAAACTTGCTTTTAGATTTAAAACTGAGTTTTGTCACTATCACAGAAAAACGTTCAAAACATCGAGAACCATAAATTTGAAATTAGAAATGCTGAAAAATCTCGCTCTAGGGTCCTCATTTTCGCGTTCAAAGTAACCGACAAATTTTTACTCCAACCCAAAATAAGCAAACTTAAACCAAACCTAAACATACCGCATAATACTAATCAAACTAACCTCAAAACACACAAAACTAACATAAAACTCACACACCCTTATTACAACTTATTTCCTCAAGAACCACAAATTACATCCTTCATTCACAACTTAATTTTGGTAGGAAAATAGAGGAGAAAGTTTTAGAATTTATATCCTTAAAGAAAATCCTTGGTTAGGCTCCTCCTTGAACACTTGATCACCTTCTTCTTCCTCTAAGATTTGTTAATCGCTTGGAATTAGAAGAGTATAAGAAAATTTGAGAAGAATATTTCTAAATCTCAAACTTTGCTAGAACATAAGAAAAAGAGGGTTTAGAGTTTATACCATTGCAGAAAATTCTTGACTAGACTCCTTTTAGAACACTTTGATCTTCTTCTTCTTCTAATGTTTGCTAGTGGCTTAAGGTTAGGAGAGTGAGAGAAAATTTTGAGAAGCAATGGGTAGGGAATGGCCGGTTTTGGTGTGTGGAAAAGGAGAGAAAATGTGCAAAATGGGCTAACTTAATGCTTGCACTAATGGTCTAACATTTATAGACTTTTACTTAATCTCTTCTTAGCTCTTAATTAAGCCTATCAAGCTAGCTTAATTAGCAAAGGTTTTGCTTAATTTCCCCTTGCTTGGCCGGTTTGGATGCTTCAAGAGAGAAGTGAAGTAAGCTTTCTTGTCAATTCTTGTCAAATAGTTGATTTGATTCATCTCATCATGAAGTCTTCTAGCACACTCAACTAACCAAAATTTTTGCTATAAACCCCCTAAGCATGGCCGGCCAAGTGAAGAAAGAGAGGAAAAAAAAATTATCATGAGTACTCTTCATCTTTCACCATCACACGTCATCCCATTCTACACATTAACCTACCCCTTGTACTTTTGTCCACTCTCTTAAGTTTTCTTTGAAACTATTAAAATTATACTGGCTGTAATTTTCTCCTGTATATGTACTGGATGCTAGTTCATATTGTGCTTGGAGATTCTTAGAACTAAGATTCTCAAACTATATGAACTGGAAATTCTTCTGCCTTAAAGTACAGTGAGAATTTATCGATCGGATTTACTTGATCGTAAAACATAAACTTAGCATGAAATCTGTTACAGAATTTAGGAATACAAATGTTAATTTCATAAATCCTTCAGTCACAAAATATAACATAATATCTTATTTTTTTCAGGAAAAATCCTTGACTTGAATACATAAATTGTATTATTTAAATTCTGAAATTTTCTTGGTCATTACACTGTGACGACCTTCCTATGAGGCCGCCACTGTAACTTAAACTTTAACTTGTACTTACTGGGGTTTCTTAAAATTTGCAGACCATTTTTTTTTTATATATAAGAAAGAATACTTTCATAATTTGTAACAATAATTTCAAATAAGTGAATCACTAAATTTCTTAAAGTTTTTCTTAATTTCAGTTAAGATAAAACGTTCTAGAAATATCTTTCAAACAGAGCAGCATTTGAACTCTTGTTTCAAATACTCTTTAAAAGCCTTTCTAAAACTAGCCAATTCAATCGGGCCATTTAATTTAGACTTTAAAACCGATTTCGTGAGAAATCTTAAATTCAAGTACATCTTAAAGCCCTTTTAAAATCAATCATTTAAATCGTCATGTTTAAAATTTATTTATTTGTTGCATGCCCTGTTGCAACGTTCTAAAACTTAAATACTCAAAACGAGGGTTGTTAGCTACAACCTCGGTTTCCTTAACCTACATATGTACCTATACTTTTTAAACATATATGCTTGAAACCTTTAAATCATATATACATATACATGATTTTACTTGAACTTACTGCGGAAGATTTTAAGTGTTAGCGGTATCCATTCCCATCTCCACTATTCGCCTGCCGCTCATCATTGCCCTTCAAGAATTGTTGATAGGTTTCTTACCTACAGCATGAACATATCTGATTGAGCTTTCGCTCAGCAAGTAGGAACTATCTCACAAAATAACTGTAAGTTCACATGAATAAATATGCATGAGCTGATTATGCTTAATTATGATGTCTTATCATAGTCTTATTATCTTATCTTATATTTCTTACTGATGGGCCCGAGTGCTCGCGTACCACTTGCGCGCAATCATCGGAACGTGAGGGTTTGCAAGGTCCCCCACGACACCGTGATTATAACTGGAATGCCTCC